ACTGATACTTAAGTTAGTTCAACGGCGAAAAAACGCAGGTCCATATGCATTGTCTGACTTTTCAGCAGTTAACCTTCTTCCAGGAGATTCACTTGTTGAATTAGAATATGCAGATGAAGTAGTTTAGTTTCAAATGCTGCTGTGGCCGATGAAATCTCAGTACGGATAAAGAAACCTCAACAAGCTTCTGCCAACTTGACTCATCTATTGCGTAGACGACATATTCCTCTACCAATCAGAGGACGATTTTACTCCACAGCACTTCACTCCGTCCTACTATACGGGTGTGTAACACACAGTCGGCTACAAAGTAGAACTTCGTACGTACGTACATCAGTTCCAGTTGCCAAACCACATTGCATAGAGACGCAACTGTCAGTTCAAATCCCGTAGTGGCTGAGACAGTAGAAGTATTAGCAGTTATGGAGAAGATTATGGTTTGAAGATATTATTCAACAAGTATAATTTAGTGAAGGTGAACGATGAGGATGAAGGTGATGTAGAATCCAGAGGATTAGGATTTAAGAGGACACAAAGAGTGGATTCAGCTACGCCATTACGTCATCCACAGGCTCTAACCATCAGTTACTATAATCTCGCGGACCCCAACCAGGTTGTCTACATCTACCAACATGACGCAGTTCACTTCTCAGTGACTTCTTCCAACCTACTCTAACACCGTAAAACATCGCTCGTCAAGGCAGTCAGTGGTTAGGTATACGTAACACATGTCCCAACCACCTCAACTGATGAAGTTTCAATACTTCATCAATTGATCTACCATCCTTACCTAGTACTCGTTTCCTAACGACAGCATTACTTACTCGGTTGTCCAAGGATACATGAGCAATCGTACCAGACATCTGTGATCGAATACTAATAACATACGATTATCCTCTAATCTCACTAAGAATAGAAGATATTCTTCGGCTACTAGTATTCGACCATAGGTGTCTTCGAAGCACTACTTGTTAACATCATCCTCATCAGATTTTTCACGGGTGAACCTTCTACCAGGAGGATCGCTTATTGACCTAGAATATGCGGATAAGATAGTTCTATTTGATGAAGACGCTGACGAAATGCAGAGAATTCTGACCACCCTAAGCAACAATGCAAGCATATTCGCGATGCGGTCTTCCCCATCGAAATGCAAAATGTTGCTTCAAGATTGGCTTGCGTCGGTACCTGAACTAGTGATAGGGAGTGAAGTAGTCGAGTGTGTAGAATGCTTCACGTATCTCGGCAGTCTCATCAGTGCTGATGGCCTGCTAACTGACGAAATCTCGGTACGGATACGGAAAGCTCGATTGGCTTTGGCCAACTTGCGTCACCTATGACGCAAGCGAGATATCCGCTCGCTAACCAAAGGTCGAGTGTACTGCGCAGCAGCTCGCTCCATTCTCCTATAAGGATGCAAAACATGGCCGTTAAGAGTAGAAGATGATCGTAGGTTACTAGTATTCGATCACACATTTCTTAGAATCATTGCTCGTGTATCGTGGGACAATCAACTAAACAATGTGGCCATTAGGAAACGAGTACTAGGTAAGGATGGTAGATCAATTGATGAAGTATTGAAACTTCATCAGTTGAGGTGGTTGGGTCATGCGTTACGTATGCCTAACCACCGACTGCCTCGACGAGCTATGTTTTGTGGTGCTGGAGTAGGATGGAAGAAAGTTAGGGGAGGCCAGACCAAAACATGGCACAAATCCATCAAGTCACTGACAAGTGGACTGAGTCACGTTGGTAGATGTAGACCACCTAGTTCGGGTCCGCGAGACGAAAGTCACCAATGGTTAGAGACCTTGAATGACATGGGTCAAAATCGTTTGCAATGGCGCAGGTGCATCCACTCTTTGTGTCCTCTCAAATCCTAATCTTCTCGATTCGTCAACACTTTTACCTTTGTCTTTCTAACCTTATATCACTGAATCATACTTTATGAATATTATCGTCAAATCCTAATCTTCTCCATTAGCAGTAATTCTTCTACTATCTCTACTACTATGGGATTTGAATTGACAATCGTGTCTCTGTGCTAATGTGATATGGCAACATGAACTGATCTACTTACGTACGAAGTTCTACGTTGCAACTGACCGACTGACTGACTCAGTCACTAATCTCTTCCATCATCGCTCATACTGCTACTAGCTCCATTACTACGGGATTTGAACTGACAATTCCATTTCTCTGTGCTAATGTGGCATGGTAACTTGGACCGATGTAGATGTGTACTAGGTTCAACGTTGTGTTCGACTGACTGACTGGTCAGAAGTCAACAAATAAGGAAGAATAAAAGAGCTACATCAGATCTGTGTAATTATTTCAAAGGTTTTAGTTGAGCAACTGTTTGGTGAAAAACGAATAGCTCTTGTATAAACCCGTTACAAAATCATGCAAAAGTGCATAAAGCCAATACTTTTATGATTATTATTATTATTCTCTTACTTAAACACTGATTCGGTCAAATAAGTGCCTTTACCAGGAGGGTAAAATGCATGAACAGTATCCAAATAGACAGATACCCGACCGTAGCTGCTACCTTGACGTGGTGGTCGGGCTTGCCTATCGTGATGACCCAACCGAGCTATACTGGCTGGAACATATGTTCCTGCACCTACAGAAACATGCCAGGCAGGTTGATTGGAGAACGATGAGACTAAAAGCAGCTCCTCAAGGTCTGAGGGCGAAGTCGTACTGCTGACTGCAGAGGGGTGTGACAGCAGTAAAGTGTTTCCTTCGGACAACCAGCATCTGCAGCGATGCTGCCTTCTCACAAGGAAGGAAGGGTTAGAAAAGGTCGACCCTAAAAATGTCACACCTCCCCTACCTCACGGATTTCCGTCTCCGTCGGTAAGGGTGCCCACTAAGGACCTTTAAGAACGGAGCTAATCCTCAAAAAACATTTCATAAAAAGGCCGTGCGTGACCGGCCTCAAACAGTTGTCCCTTGGGCTCTGCGGTCACGCACCAACACTAATTCATCTTCCTTTTCAGGTCCCTCAAGAAACAACCTTCCACGGTGTGGGCAGCCGAGAAGTGACAACCGCCCTCATACCCATAACAGCACGCGAGACCAAATTGGTCAAAATCAAATCCTTCCTACACCCACTAATGTCTCTCTTATCTCTATGACTAACTCTACTCACACTCCCTTTTCTCACTGCACCGCTAATGCAGACGAAGCGAGATCACGAAACGTCGTTCCTGGTCTCTTGAAACCCCGTTCTAAACTACATGGTTTTCGATCATAGGTGTCTTTGAAGCATTCCTCGAATACCGTGGGACAACCGAGTAAGAAATGCTTTCGTTAGGAAACGAGTACTAGGTAAGGATGGCAGATCAATCGATGAAGTGGTGAAACTTCATCAGTTGAGGTGGTTGGGACATGTCTTGCGTATGCCCAACCACCGACTGCCTCGACGAACTTTGTTTTGTAGTGTAGGAATAGGTTGGAAGAAAGTTAGGGGCGGCCAGACCAAAACATGGCAGAAATCCATGAAGTCATTGACTAGTGGACTGAGCCATGTCGGTAATTGTCGACTACCTGGTTGGGGTCCACGAGATGATAATAATCGATGGTTAGAGACCTTGAATGACATGACTCAAAATCGTTCGCAATGACGCCGGTGCATTTATTCATTGTGTTCTCTCAAACCCTAATCTTCTGGATTCTTCAACACCTCTAGTTTCGACTCTCTAAACTTTTCTCACTGAATCATACTTCTTGAATAGTATCTTCTAAACCTAACCCCTCCGATTAATTCTAATTCCCTTACTACCTTCACTACTATTGGATTTGAATTGACAATTATATCTCTGTGCTGATGTGGTATGGCAACATGAACTGATGTACTTACGTACCAAGTTCTACGTTGCATCTGACTGACTGAAATAGACAGATGAAATACAGTGATACAATGTGATTGAGTGACAACCGCTCATGAGACCGAATCGTTGACATAAAATTAAATACGTACTTAGAACAAGAAAATTCAGGAAACTAATTTGGTGGTTCACTCAATCTAAGGTATAATCCCTGCCCATTATATCAGTTAGCCATATTTAACAAAAAAAATATATAGTCAGAGCTATGAGTGCACCCTCAAGCCGAAAAGTTTGCACCATTAGTAAACAGACACGTAAATTGAACTCTTCATCCATCCTGATTCAACGAGTCCTCACAGTAATATATATAATTTTAAATAACTCCTGAACGGATTTTCGGTATCCTTTGAAACGCCATATGATAACCTCAAGACAAGAGGTGTACTTATACTATTTGTTATATTGGGACCAGTTGGTGTAACAAATTGTACATGCATAGTCAGTATCTCGAGTGATTTAGTCTGTTGGGAAGCAATCACAATGTCAGCTCAAACAGTGACACCTACCTCTTGCTCTAAAGTGCTATAGTCCATGTGATAAGATTTTGATGAGAACCACGAGTAAAAGTATGTAACCAAACTGCCGTTCATTTACAAATCGAAAATCATAAGAAACTGTGATAAAGAGAGAATGAGAAGCTAGAAGATTCCAACTACATGGAAGTTGAAATAACCATATCTTTATTTCCATGTCTACAATAACAGGTCTAGTTTGTGCGAGCATTTTAAAAGGCTTACAACGCACTCAGTTTACATAGCTGCACTTTATAATTTTAATGACCCGAAAATCACGAATAACAGATGACTTTTGGCTCTGAAAATGGGGAAAAACCATTTTAGTTTGTATGATCGTGAAACTGCTACATCACAATGGTAAACAATCTGGTCGACTTATGATTGTGAATTTCACTAGTTTCAGTTGCTATTTGGTTTGAATCTAAACTCATTAAAGCATATTTTTAACACAACCTAGCTCTCAATAAGCCTTTATCCTGATGGTTGACTTGAAATAAATTCAGCTGAGAATAAAGATAGATACCTATATAAAAACACCTTGCTTGGAATCCATCCAGTAACTATTTTCAAAGGCAAAAACAGAACATACATCCATTGCGATTTGCCCATCAGGTAAAAACTGTAACTCAGGCAAATATTGACGAGCATTCGAAGAACTCCTGCTTAATTTTCGTTCTTTTTTAACTTGTAGTGTTTTGAAGCATGGTTCGAACTATTATTAAAAAGGATCTTTATATCTGAAACAGTTGACAAACCCAAACGTAGGCATCATCAGTAAGAGCTCTTTTTACTTCCGGATACACTTCAGAGCATGTTTTGTATACAGTCTCACCTTTGGGCTTAGAAAAAGGCTCATTGATAAACTGTAAAGGGGGTCGATTCAGCTTTTTCGACTTTGGCATTCGAAGCTAATAACCTTGACGGTTCATAACAGCCACTCAAAGCACACATAAGTTATCTTCGAGAAAAGTGTGTACAACAACTCATACGATTCCTATCACTGATTTTATAATGTAATTTGCACAGTAGCCATTCTGAACAAAAGATTTTAATTAGCGAAATCTTGATTTATTTGTCAGCCAACAACTACGACCATGATGCCTGTTACATACAATGGAGCGTAGACCACTGACCAGAGTTCTCCAACGTGCTCTGTCTCGCGCCCCTCTTTCCATTTCAGTGCAATTTTCGTTCATTCTCCTCATGTCTGTCTCAACTATTCAGTGTAGTACTCCTTAGCATTCCTCTTTTCCCTTGACCTTGAGGGTTCCAAGTGAGGGCGTGTCTTGTGACGCACGTGAGTGTATTCCGCAATGTGTGTACAATCCATTTCCACCACTTCTTCCTCATTTTGTCCTTGTCTGGAAGCTGGTTTGTTCTTTCTCACAGTGGGTTGTTACTGTTGGTACCTGGTCAACGGATCTGACGTATTTTCCATAGACTACTATTAGTAAACACTTGTTTCTCCTGGATGATCACTTTGGTAGTTTCCCAAGTTTCCAACCCATATAGTGAAACTGTATCGAAAATGCTGATTTTGATGTTGGTTGATATTTGTTTGGAGTTCCAAATATTTTTCAATTGTATAAATGCAGCCCCAAATCTGTACTATATCCAAATTGCTCGTCAATGATGCTGTTCAGATATGTAAAGGTTTGTACATCCTTCAAAGATCTCCATCACGGGTGATTTGGTTGGTGCATGTTATTTTGTATCGAAGAATCTCGCTTTTCTCCTAATGTATGTTGAGTACTGTTGCTTCTGAGGTTGCTGCTACACTGGTCATCTTCTCTTGCGTTTGTTGTACGTCGCTCTCCACCGAGACTAATTTACCTATTCACATGTCATCATGCGAGTAGATCCGGTGCGCAAATCTTAGCAGCAGAATTATTAAAGATCTCTTCACATGATGGAATCTTCATTGTTGCGAAAATATTGGAGCAGCTACGGGAACGCACAACATTGCTGCTAAAACGCATCTGTGAAAATGGGTTAAGGTTACGCCCAGAGAAATGCCAATTGTTATAACAGTCGGTAAAGTATTTGGGACTCATCTTAAATGCGGACGACCGCAGATCGATCCTGAGAACATCCGAGTTACCAAACTGATGCCCACTACCACTAATGTCTCGTAATTACGATCTTTTCTCGGATTAATCAGTTATTATTCAGCGTTTGTTCCTTCAAATCATGATTGATATTCGCGTCCCATTGAATTGTTTTCTTCAGAAGAATAGCACATGGAGTCGGACTAAAGAGTGTGACGCGGCGTTTTGTAAACTCAAGTCCATAATTACTTCGGAATCGTTATAAACACACTACGATCCACCCATGCCAATCATCGTAGCAGCAGACGCTTCAGCATATGGCCTAAGTGCTGTCATCTCACATCAGTTTCCAGACGCGTCAGGAAAAGCCGTTATACATGCATCCCGTACACTAACTCCAGCAGAAAAGAAGTACAGCCAGACAGAGAAAGAGGCTCTTGCCCTTGTGTTTGCTGTTCACCGTTTCCGCAAGTTTCTATACGGTCGGAGATTAACGCTCCTCACAGATCACAAGCCTCTGTTGGCAGTATTAGGTTTAGAGTTTGCATTTCAGCCCATTCTGTGAATCGTCTTCAGCGATTAGCCTTGGTGCCTTTTGGGTGTGATTTCGAAATCCAATACCTACACACTCAACGATTCAATCTAGCAGACACTTTGTCACAACTCATCAATGATCAAGACTTCTCCGTTAGTTCTTTTGTGGCAACGGATCAGAGTAGCATAACGCGTCATGGTTCATTGACTCGTTCTCGTTTATCGACTAAGCAGAACCCGTAATAGTTTCAAGCATATCAAGTGACGAGCATAACAGTCTACTGTTATTATCGTTGGTATAAAGGTGTTTTTATATCTCTGAACTGTGTCCAAGTAAACATTTATTTACGTCTGAAACGTGAAATTAGGTAAAACTTCTATTTGTATAACTAATGGTTTACAATCGTAAAAACAGTTCAATTAAAATTTTCTTTTAAATAATATAAAGCTTCATTCTGTACATAATCAATTGTGTAGAAAAATGATTCTGTTTAATGTTACAGCGGAAATCGCTGAGGATTGAATGAGAGATAAGTAATTATGTGGGTATATATGTACATATATATCTTAAGAGCATGCTTTTAAAATACCTATACCTCGTAGGATCACATGTTTTGTCGCAAAATAATCTATTTTGATGAATGTTTACAATTTATTATTATTGTTATGATCATTATTCATTTGAAATCATGAATCGGTCAAAGTTAAACCACCATTAGAAACCTTGAAGCATTGGACGGTCGTTTCGTCCTGGTATGGGACTCATCAGCACTGAGCATCCACAACTCCTGCACCTTTCGGGATTTGAACCCGGGACGTTCGTCTTTACGCGCTAACACCTAACCTCTGGACCACTGAGCCGGTATCTAACGGTGTTTATGTCTAACTTCGATCGATTCTGGGAGTTGCGCTACTTTTTATAACCATAGACTTAATCTATGGGCAATCTGGTCTTCTATCTCTGCCAGTACATTGAACTCAAACACCTGCTAATTCTTTTCACGAAAGACCTCCACTTCCAATTCGATGACATGACATACCGTCAAATCGATAGCGTGGCAATAAGAAGTATTCTTCGTCCCGTCTCACAGGATATATTCTTGGCTTACCTTGAAAGAAACAGGCTTAAAGAAGCGATTGATGAAATAACGTATAATGCAAGATATGTTGACGATCCTCTTATTGTGGTTAGTGGTCAACAACAACACCTACTAAACCTGTTCAACGGAACCCATAAATATATTCACTTCACCATGGAACAAAACAGCGATAAATTCCACTTTTTCCATGTCGCCATACAATAGAGGGAACATGGTACTATTCGACATTCAGTTTACTGAAGGGACATGTGAAGTGGCTTTTATCTGAGTTTTACCAGCTTTTGTCCGACTAGTTGCAAAATGGCACTTATCAAAACGTTATTTAATAGAATGAAAATTATATGCACTACCGGCATATTAGAGACAAAATTAACAACCAATAAGGAAAGCCTTAGGAAACATAGTTATCCAAAGAAATTTACTGAAGACGAACCACCTACAAAAACTGCAGCGCACAAGAAGCCTGTCTTCATTCAACTTGGATTCAAAGGTGATGATGTCACAGCGATGATAAAGAGAAGATTGAAAACCATACTGACAATATATTATACCGAATTACATACTGTATAAAACGATCTGTTCCGTGCTCGCCTACTTACGTACTTACTTAAATTACTTAATTGCTGAAAAAAACACCCAGCCAGCACGAATGAATAATAAAACACAGTAACTAATCAAAGCAAAGGATTGTGCTGCTCGACTGTGAATTATATGAATTTCAGTGTTCCTGATAAACGTTAGTACTCTTTTACTTTCCGCTTCAGTGTACAGACATCCACCTACTTACTTCAGCTTCTCTTCTATCCACCTTGGTAAACATCACAACACACTGTTCTTAAATTCTGTACCTCACAATTCGAAGTATATGTTCTCGCAATTCATATCAGGTTTAGTAGCCTGTGTGAATTTCATGCTTCGACTTATCACTGCTTTGTCTGCTACATTATGAACAGTTCAACGGTGCTTTAGTCACACCTCCGATTACCTCATTGCTATTTTATTCGTTTCTCTCTTCTTCTTCTTCTTCTATTCTCAGAACCTATCAATAGTAAACAGCTATGGTGATCCTAAGCAAAATGCACTCTAATCGTAATCACTTGTTGAAAAGATGGCTATAATCAACTGTTCCCGTCTATGAAATGATGCGAACTTGCTGTCAGGAAACGACTACTGTTGATATTCTAACTGTGCAACATTTTATGGTAATTGTGGTAGCATTTTTAACAATTTGAACCCGCCTGTAAACTAGCGGGCCTCAGGTAACAAAATGTTATTCCAAAGAATTTTATTATTACTGTTTTTATTATTTCGGAGGAGTTCAAATGCATAATATTTCATCCCAAAAATACCAACTGGACGATCTGAAGCGCTAGTGTCAGTGTTCAGAATTCTTCTTAAGATTATTAAGTACAGTTCCGCAAGCTCTATGTTTTGTGCACATGCAATTCGTGAACAGTGATATGCTTGACATAAGACTTGATTCGTGTGTCTGTATTTTAAGGATCTGGTTGTGTGCCTAAAAGGTCGTTCTAAATGATTTCTCTTGAAACCACTACCTTCGGAGAGCTCAAAATACGGTACGAATAATTAACGACTGCTTGTTGAGCTTCAGTTTCAAAAAATAAAAATAATCTTAAATAACGCGATATCAATCGTCAATGATAATGTCCTTATCTGCCGGGAATCAATTGGTCACTTGTTTTAGTGACATCAATCACATCAATTCCTACGCAGTCATATACCGAACAATTCCCATGAGTAAACTATGAAAAACAGTGGAACGAAATACTGGTACAGTTTTTCTAAGCATTTTTATCATTTAACAAGCAAGAAAATTTTAACATTTCAAAATATCATTCACTTGAGTAAACTAACATTAATGTCTACATATCTACTAAATAATGATGAAAAATAAAAATTAATGAAGTTGGTATCGCGCTGCAAGTGAATGATGTAACACCAGCGGTTTCTGACTAAAGTTTGAAGTAAATAAGCCTTAGTTTCCAATGAAACTTCCGATTAACCGTAACAGATGTCCTCGGACCACAACTCAGAAATCAATTCTGGAATCCTGTGAGCAGATTCTTGTGCTACAAATTTGAATAATTTTAACAACTATAAAGTTACCTTCCATAACCTTCCATCTTTGAATTTCAATTTCTCTAATATTGTCTCCCATTAAATCTAAATTATAATGAAGTAACGAACATAATATTCGACAAACCTTCTACTCATAACAATGAATGTATCTTAAAATGCAACTAAACTTGGA